TATATATATATCTTGTTTTTTCGATTTTATTTGGGGGAAAAACACTTTAAATGTTTAGAGTATATAAATATTGAGTGAAACACATCTAATACAACAAAATTGTAATATTTTTCTTGATATAACTATGTTTTTCCTTTAACTCATTCTATATGCATATTATATGTATGTTTGTGTATATATATATATATACTATTAAAAATGTTTGTATGTAACTTGATTTCGATTGCGATTTGTATTCTTTATGGTAATTTGATTGATTACATTTATGAGTTTTTTTTGAAGTTGCACATTTGATTTTACGACAAGAAGATCCTTGAATATTTAAAAAAAAAATCAAATAAAATATCTCATATATCTAAAACTATAAAGCTGAAGATGATAACTGACTAAACACGAGAGAGCGAGAACCCTAAATTTTAAACAACTTCAATATTTAATAATACTCATTCAATTTTTTTGGTACAATTTGATGGTATGTGATAATATAAGACGTCTTTAAAAAGTCTGAACAAAGTTACGAAACTAACAAAATCTCGCTAAATTTCGACTAGATGTTGTTTAATTTGTAAATGAACTTAATATAAAGGTCCGTGTAGACCTGGTTTTATTGTTGTAGTTGCTGTTGTGTGCGGTGTAGTCCTAACGCCGCTTAAAGACCAAACCCGATGACTCGTTATACGTTTCCTGCGCGCAGCAGCAAAAAGTTTAAAGATTCAAATAATAATCAATTAGATTTTCGATATTTGACTTTTTTTATATACAGAATAAACATGTTTTTATCTATGTATAAATAATAGCAGGTAAAAGTACAAAAAAATTATACAAAATAAATACAAAATCAATGGACTAAATACACAAAATGTACGTATAGTAAATAAATGTATATGTATAAGTATATATATATATATAAATGTATATGTATATATGTATATGCAAATTAATATCAGTTAAAGCTAAAGATTGGCTAACAAGGATACAAACGTGTTTGGATTGGGCATTTAACTTAAAATTAAATAATTGCTAAACAACTACATAATAACAATTAACAATATACATATAGGTAAATCATACATGAGTGTAGATATTGCAACAAATTAAAGCTAAAAATCATTAGATAAATAGCTTCCGAGACGTTAGGCGTGGCGAGAACAAATTGGCTTTACTTATTCGATATGAAATTAAAATAGCATTTTTAGCTTTAGATACACAAAATAAACTGGAATGTGGGAGAAAAGAGAGCGCGTGTGTGT